TATGTATAATATTAACTATGTTGACTGTCTTATTTAGCTTGTATTGTTTGTCGCCATTGAATTATGTTTATATTATACCATGTTGGTATATACACATGATGGATGTCAGTGACACTGGATTTGAAGAATGAAGGGGTGGGAATTAATAAGTAGTCTACTTCTTCCTACTCCTTTTCGAACATGTGTACTGCTACCCGTGGAACTTCTTCTTTTCTCTTTGTTATTATATTATGGCTGTTTTTTCCTTTGTTTGTTTATTGATATATTTTGTTTTTATCATATCCGAAATTAAGCATCTAAAGCATCTAAACTAAAAAGGGGGTCCTGGTCATGCTGATCTGTGACCTGGTACTGAGAACATAGAGGATGCTGGAAATGACACAAGGTATGTATGTGACTCAAATGTGAGCATAATACAGAGCACTTTCAAGAAGATGCTCTTTTGTATTTTGCTTTGTTTGTCCTAGAAGGAATAAACAGATGTGCAGAGGTACCTTTAGTCACATTGACATTGAGACAAAATGGTCATCATCATTTATTTCTGTACAAAAGTTCTTAAAGAAATTCAGAGTCATGGAGCTTAATTACTTTACAAGCCCAAGCCACATATACAACACATCCATTTGGTGTACAGTTAAAACAAGCCAACTATACTCTGAGTCATATACATGTATGCAGTATGAGTGTCTGATACAAATCTTTTTAAATGGAGTTATAATAGTTTCTTACATACAATATACATACAGGACAGCAATAACATTACAGCTTAAAAGATGGCCCTTGTAGATTTGGATCAACTGTGTCTGTACAATAAATAAGTATAAAATATATCTCTTAGCCATTTGTGGATTTTTAAAAACACATTAAACATACAAAACACTAAATTACTGCTACAACCTCCGAAAAAAGACCAGCTATTTCGGCAAGGGGGGGGGGGCTTTTTCTCACCAGATTGAAACAAAGATTAATTTACTTTAATGGGGAAATTGCACATTTAAAAATTCCCTGATTTAACATTCAATGAACAATTTAATTTAATCTTTTATATTGTTATGGTCATCATGCTGGTTTACTCCAAGAACACTGATGGATGGATCACAAACATTGATATGACAAAAAACAACAAAAAAACAAACAAACATGGAGGAAAACATCACAATATCAAGTCAGCGAGTGCTTGGAATGAAACAGAGCAAGTTACAAACCACTGGTCTGAATGCAAAACAAGGAATGTTTTTTTTTGTTTTGTTTCGTTTTTCTCCTACTCTTTTCTCTTTTTTAACAGTTCAGTTAAAAAAGCAGGTTTATAACCAAGCAAAGAAACCATTCAACTTCTACATCTATCACATACTATAAAGATCTGCATGGGAAAGATGCTTGGTGATGCATGTACATTAAATACGATTAGCTAACTCACACGATCCACTCGATCAGCTCACACTTAGTATTTTCTCTCTCTATTCATGTATAGGCATTGCATTTGCATGATAGTCCATGTGTTTGCATGATTCTAGAGAACTGACCCTTTGCTAACTCCTGACCCCTGACACAGATGAACTGTATCTGGCTTCCCCCAGGGCACCCGCCTGTCCTGCGGCAGAGGTCCGGGTGATGGCGGTGGCACAGTAGGAAGGGGAAGCCAAACGCTGTTCATCTGCACATACTGTGATGCCATACAGCTGGTTCAGTATTGGCAAATTTTCACTTTATATTTATTGTCTTCTGTCTTTATTGCCAGTGATGTGGTTGTTAAGTTTTACACTGTGATCTGTAGCCTTTAGTTGGGCTTTAGCTTCCAACCATCTTTATCTGTTTAGCCTGTTTTTGCTGCTGAGTCAGTTTAACATCCTGGATATATCCATCAAACAAATATTGTCTCTTTGAAATTGCTTTTTAAATTCTCCAAAAATGTGGTAAAATTTCTTCAGGTAGTGCAGTTAGTTACAGTGTGGGCTCCATGCTAGCTCCAACAGTTTGATGAACCATCACAAAGGAGTGGGACTTAGTGAACAGTCAGTCGGCTAAGTAGTTATATAAACATCAAACAACCAAACTGAAAATAGAGATCCTTGGAAATGATCAACATAAAAGTGAAAAATCAAATATATCAGGTTTCTTTATTAATGTAGGTTATTGTGAGAAAGAAAAGTGGCAAACCCAGTCTCCGAACCGTAATCATACAAAACTCTTTGTAATAGTATTTACGTTTCTTTCCAGTGTTTCATGCCAATGTAGAAAGTGGTGTGAAAAAAACAAAAAACAACTGGTGTGATAGCTGTCAATTAATCTTTGGTCAAAAACAAACTGGACTGAAATTGCTTGGAATTGCAGTCAACCTACTTTGCAACCTAACTTTCGTGCTTAAAAACAGATTGCTTAATGACAACAATTACAGAATATGAGACTGCTGTTCCAATGGGCACAGACATATGAAAGGCCTTCCATCCCTCTAACATGGGAGAAACACACCAGGACTGAAGGAAAAAAGAAAAAACAAACAAACAACAAAACGGCTGCATAATTTGTAGTTATTTTGTGTCTCCAGCATTTTGCAGGTGAACCAAACATTTGCTAACGTTTCCCATGTGCTTTCAAAGAGGTCATTAGTAGCCATTTTGCATCTCTTTGTAGCTGTTTTGTGACCCTTGCCTTACCCTAGCCCCTTGTGACCCTGGGCCTCTGAATGATATGCCTGTTTTGTAGTAACCCATGCATGACCATGAGCACAATCTTCCCTTTTTGTTAACAAAATAGTTTTGTACCTAATCACTCTTTAGTTGCATGTATAGTTAAGAATTATCCAGCTGAAAAGCACTGGTACCAAATATTTTGCTGATTTCTAGCTTAATATGGTTGGCATCACAAGGACCCACAAGGACAAGGACCCCAGGACAGCCCTAAAACATGCTGGAGGGTTTATATATCCCATCTGGCCTGGAAAAAAGCTTTTGAGTTCCCAGGAAGAGCTTGAGGATGTTTTTGGGTAAGAGGCATCATGCTTAATTAGCTCCTTGACTCCCACACTCCCACCCCTCACAACAATCATAGTCTCTCATTGAGCAACTAAACCCTAACTTGCGCATGTCATCCTATATTTGGAAAAAAACCTCTCAAGCTCTCTTTTTTCATTATTCAAGTGTCCATTATTCCCATTGAACAATTATTGCACCATGATGCTCTCCATGATGAAAGCCCCCCCCCCCCACCCCCCGCTGTGCCAGGTCACAGGACAACCAGAGGCAACATTAAACTTTGCCAGCTGTGAGCACCTAGGTAGACTGACCTATCTACCCAGATTGACCAATCTGGAGTGGCTAATCGGGAGGACCGGGACAATTCCCGGTGGGCCAGTCTGATGTTTGGGCCGCGAGGGCCGGTGTTCAGTTATTTTTTTTTATTGGGCTGGTGTTCAGTCATGGCACTGGGTATCACGTATGCTGCTACCGCTGTCCCTGGGCCGCCTCCACTGGCAGCTCTTTTTTTATTTTTATTTTTATTTTTTGCAGACACACCCTGACGTGTGTGTGCATGGGGGCGTTCAGATGTAGCGTCTTTTGCACGCACAAACCCATTACTTTCAAAGTAGACGCATGTCATGCAAGCTCACAACCCAAAGTGACGCCGTAACGGCACGCATTCAGTGTGACGCGCTTGTTTTTTCAGCCTGTGCACAGCTCCACGGACCTGCTTCTCTGTCCCGTGTTGTGTCAGATCTCGGTTCCCCCTCGGGCTGTGTCTCTCCTACTGTTTCCCACGGAGCTCTGCCCCATTTGAACGGCGAAGGAAGCCAGTATGTGGAAAGACGTGGCCTCAGAGATGTTGAATGTGTATTATAGAAGAGAAACACACATTTCAGGACCACTGACTTGTATCATCAGAACAGACATGTTCTGTGATTTTCAGCCTTCTTTCATATTTAATAGAGGGGGGACAATACCTGACAGTAATATTCTCAGCTGTCAGGATGTGCCTGCTGTAAAGGGTAAATATAATCATCGAAGGCTGAAAATCACAGGACATGTCTGTTCACTTTTTATTCTATTTTTTATTTTTTCAAATTTAATATTTAATATTTTTATTTATTCTTTTATTTCATTTTTAAGGTTTGGATATCTGTGAACACTTATTTGAACAGAATATAGATTCTGATATTGTTGAAAAGGATGTTGTGTTGTAAAGAATAATGTTGGAGATGTGCACTCATGTTGAAATAAATCTACATTGTGAAGCAACCCTTATTTGCACTGAATTGGAAATATTTTAGAAAAATACACTGAATTACAAGGCTTTAGAGAACAGTGCGCTATTGTAGACTTAACATGTAAGGTTATAATAGGTTGTGATCTAAAGTTGGCCGGTCTGAGGCATGAAACTCCAGGGCTGAAAATTAGTCCCACTCTGGGCCTGATGCTCACAACTGGGGAAGTGATACCAAGTTTGCACCACGGTGTCCAAGAGGATCCACCATTCAAAATCACACTGAAATGGAATGCCTTTCTTTTTAAACGTAAGTGAGAGAAAAGTGAGTCAGTAGACTGATTCCACCTAGTAAGTGTCGACCAAGGCAGCAAGACAGGAGAAACAGCCATTCAGTGGGGCTATGGACGATGGGTATGAACTTCTGAGATTCTCTTTGTCATTCTTAAAACAGTGGGGTTTTAGTGTACAAATAAGTTCAAGATCATGGATGCCTTTGAAAAGAGACTGACCTTTTTGGTCAGTCTCTTTTCATTGGTTTGTGTGCCCAATTAACAATTAACACATCTTGCCCTTCACAATAACTGCAAGGCCTTCACCCTGTCTGTAACTGTGAATGATTATTTTGCCTTTAGACATGAATTATGACACGTCATATGAACTAGTTCATTCCAAGAATAGCTCGACCTTGACATCATCAAACTGCTCTTTCTAACAGTGTCATCCAACAGTGACACCAAAGGGTATCGGCATATTTTCCACAGATGTCAGAGTCTGGATAGAAAAGTGTGTTAGAGGACAGACTATGTACAAAAAGGATGGACTTGAGTCAGTTCAAGTTTTTGGCTTGGCCAAATTAATTGAAAATAGGCCACTGTTAATGTTAACATGAAACTAAGGCTACGATCATATTACAAGCAAATGTGGCCCAAATACTTTTTTCTTTTTTTGCTCTTATATGACACAGATCTGATTTTTTTCAGAAGTGTGACAGAGACATACATTTTTTTTTTGTCAGTCAGATTTGGGACACTTCCATTCCCACTTTTGCTTTTATGTCATTGCAGGCTGTTGAAACTACAGTAGGCTGCCATAGCTGTAAAACTGCTGCAGTAAGCTGTCACCAGCCGATAGTGCCAGACACTTTCTGATGGGGCAGTTTGCCTACATTTTGAGCCCTGCGGTGACGGCATTGCTGTGAGGTGCCGACAGAGATATTGGAATGTAGCCCCAGACATCGTAAAGTTTGGGGGGGACTGTTCTTCTGTACAACCCTTCACATCGCTGCCCCACCTCTCTTGACTCTAGGTCAGTAGCTGCTAATGGAGCTATAGCTATGGCTTGTGCGTTCCTTTGTCTTCTCACCCTCAGCCTTAACAAATGATGAATTGTCATTCAACCTCCACAGGAAACCATTCGGGAGATGAATGCTGGCACCGCCATGTCATTCAATTTTTTCCAAAATGCCTGTGTCTCACAAATGCAACATTTTTTTTGTTGTTGTTCCAACGTGCGTATGTGTATGTGTCCTTGGTTGCATGTGAGGTGTTTCAGGGCAGAAATCTGCTCACACTGATATCAGATATGGGTCACGCAAAATATAAATGTGAAGAGTCTAGGCAGAAAGATCAGATGTGGAGAGAAATGGAAATTGAGCGAATGTTGTGAATGTAGCCTATATTTATGCCCATGTTAGATGGTACATAAAACAGATGTTTGCATGTTTGGGTAGCTTACCAAATCCAATGAGTAGCAATGACACTCTGAGTCTGAACCAATATCTACCAATGGATAGTGGTATATTAATGGTATACTAAGGTATTGTATTAATATCTGTCTATGGTAATGTCTGCAAACACCATTGCTTGTTCTGACCATTGTTGCTGAAGAACTCAAGGACCTCCAATATGGCCGCCAGAGGGTGTGCTGTCACCTTACAGTCCTCTACTGATGACTTATATAGATATAGTTCATTGTGGGCAGTGCTGGCTCTGGGAGAGGGTCTTCAAGGGTCAACAAACCAAATCATATCATTCTTTGTCACTGCCAAACACAGAAAAAACACCACTGATCCTGGACAATAGCTTGGAGCAACCAACTCTGTAGGGCTGGAAGTATGTTTTATGTGTGTGTGTACATGCACTTTTTTAGTGTATGTGTGTGTGTGTGTGTGTGTGTGTGTGTGTGTGTGTGTGTGTGTGTGTGTGTCTGTGTGGGGGTGAGGCTTGGAGGGGACTACATAGTCTGATGGCTGTCCTCCCCACTCTGCCTGCTTCTCATAACTTCATCTTGTGGAACACAGGGACAGGCAGGACCTGATGGATCTTGGCTCGGTTGGCGTCCACCTCCAGATGGACCCAGTCAGGGTGGAAGGAGCCCTTGAAGCCCACAAATGCCAGCTTATCTGCAGGGTGGCCAAATAACATTAAAGTTAGTGATATCATTAAAGCACCAGGGTGTTATTTAGCATTGCACTGCCTCACATTCACTTCTACACAGCCTGAGTTCATGTGGAGCCTACCCCAATTCTAAACAGAAGCCCCCTGCCTCTGGAAGCAATTCATAATGCTTGTATGAAACCACATATGTCATAAAGGGTGTAACAATGCTGCTACTGTCCTATAGTTTTACAATTTACATTTTTATTTAACACTTGTGACTCATGTAGAGTCACTTTGTTAAATCTTGATAAGGTTAATACATCCTATTCTACAGTTGTCTCCCCTGGGGTAGTTTTACACCGAAGGGAAGGACAGCAATTCTCATTCACTTTTATGTTTACAGCAGGAGCTGGGATCTGAAGCAGGAAATTGACTGTCATAATCACAAGCAATGGAGAGAACATTTTGGACAATGTCAGAGATGGCTCTCCATCTGTCTCCAAACACAGGCAATTAAAAACACGATAACAAAGGTGTGGCTTTATTTTTGGTTGTGCCAGTTTTAATGGATGTGTAGGGGAGGGTTGCCATAAATGTAACATGTTGCAGTTGCTGCCTGGCCTATAGGGTTTTTCCAGCTCCTTAAATAACATTGTTGTCTGACAGCATTTCAACCTTATGCCACCTTTTTCATCAGTGTCTAACATGGATTAAACGTTTAAAGAAACACCAAAGTACAGATGCCACGAGCGGCTTATTTGTAACATGTTACATTGAAATTGCTTAGATTTGTGAGCACAACTTGATAACTTACGCTGTATGCATATATTATTTTATACATATAAAGTGTATGACTCTTTTTTTGTCAATAAAACTTGCAAAGATAAATGGACAAAATGGCTATAATATAGATTGTAAAGTTTAGTGACTTGGTGTTTTCTACATTTTTGACCCTCCAGGGGTCAGTGTGCAATTACACACAGGCCTCCCCAAAATGCATGCACTCTGTGTTCAGTTAGATGTCATTTAATCATATTCTAAATCAGTTTGTATAGTATTTTTCAATTTTCATGAATCAAATTCACTATCTATGTAGGTGTAAACAATTTTCTTGCCAATGGGGAAGGATACAAATTCCCAAATGAACTGCTGCTTCCAGTAAGTTTTAATAAAATCATTATGTTTTATTATTTGATCACATCCTTGATATGAAATTAACATAAAAACAGTTGCTTGACTGTGTTATTGTTGTTTTTCAATGAAAACAATTTCTTTAATGCCATTTTTTGGCCGTATACAACCCTAGCTTATGCTGTTATGATTAACACAATTGCTCACATGACACTGTTTTTTAATTTTACAATGTCCATATGGCAATATTTACAGCTTTAAGCCTCAGAGATGGTCATAAAACCTGTTATCTTCATGCAGACATTGTGAACCATCCAAGGTTTCAATCCATGCAGCTGTCAACTTCAAATAGTCCATGCTGACTTGAACCCTGAAATCACCACTTGTGGACACTTATGCCTCAAGCCTGATTTTTCAGTGTGTTTTGAAGATATTAACCAATGAACTTCAAAGGGGTGTGGCTCAGCACATAAATAGACCTAATTTAATAACCGTGGCACCAGTCATCACAAATCTTGCAGGATAGATCTTTGTGACTGAAAATTCAATTTAAATTAACCACTAGGGGGCGCTACAAATGCCAAAAAATGGGTGTGGCATAACACAAATCAGAATGTTACTCAGACATTGTCCAATCATTACAAAACTTGCAAGATATGTTCTATACCAATGTTGAAACATGAGTAAATCTATATTGAAATTTCTCAATATGGGGCGCCACCATTTTAAAATTAAAAAAAAAAAAAAAAAAAGAAAAAGAAAAAAGAAAAAAATAATCTGAAATGTACCACTTTTTCTGTACTTATTACTGGACCACTGTTAGTAAAAGTTATTAAAAGCTTGATGTGCGGCTGTATGTCTTGGACACAGGAGCAGAGCTGCAAACTCTCCAGCTCCACAACAATGATGACTGCAACAAAGTGTTCATGTTCGTGTTCATTCAAGATAAGCATTTTATGGTGCATCCAATTTGCTGTGTTTTATTTGACCTTTTCAAGTGTATTGTTGTTTGGTGCTGAGGGTTTGATGAAGAATGTAAGCTTATTAACTTTCCTCATCATGACCAAAAGGGGGAACAGTGCAGCGAAATGAGGCAGCACACAGATTTGGACGTAAATGAATGAGGGCGTCTCCAATCCTCGTAAAACCTGTTAGTTATCTTTATCGCTGATGTTATTAATCAATCAATCAATTTTATTTATAAGGCCCAATATCACAATCACAATTTGCCTCACAGGGCTTTACAGCATACGACATCCCTCTGTCCTTAGGACCCTCACAGTGGATAAGGAAAAACTCCCCAAAAAACCCCTTTAACGGGGGAAAAAATGGTAGAAACCTCAGGAAGAGCAACTGAGGAGGGATCCCTCTTCCAGGACGGACAGACGTGCAATAGATGTCTTACAGAACAGATCAACATAATAAATTAACAGTAATCCGTATGACACAATGAGACAGAAAGAGAGACAGAGACAGAGATGCAGGACAGACGGTAACGACAGTAGCTTACAACAACATTAATGAAAGTAGTAAAATTATAAATATAATTACGGCTATTGTGGTACAATAAGTTGACATAAAATGTCAAAGGTCTTGATCGCAGCTTTCAACTTCTAACAACCCATGTTGGCATGACCCTGATTTGCTGCTTGCGGCTCTATTTAGGGGTCCAAGCAGCAACACATGATGCTGGAACTCTTTTGCTTTTGTTCAAATTCTGCTTTCTTGGGGCGTCAGTAGCGTAGTGTATAGTGCCGGCACCCCATGTATAGAGGTGATACCTCGCTGCAGCGGTCGCGAGTTCGACTCCGGCTTGCAACCCTTTGCTGCATGTCGTCCCCCTACTCTCTCTCTCTCCCCCATTTCACACACTGTCCTGTCCATTAAAGGCAAAACGCCCAAAAATAATCTTTAAAAAAAAAAATTCTTCTTTCTTTCTTTCTTATATTTTTTTCCCACTAAAAGTGTTCATGCAGCAAAAACTGTATGACGAAAACTCACCAAAATTGGCAGGTGGGTTGCAAATTCCACCCACTACTGAGGCATAAAACATGACACTCATTGAACTCAAGGTGGCACTGTTACAATCATTTACGTGTTTGCAATTTGCAAATCCTTTGTCTGAGCTTCGCCAAGCAGTCTTGGGATATCCTGCCACTAGAGGGTGCCACAAATGTGAAAAGTTTCTATTTCATAATCAGCTAGAGATATGTACTAAATTTGGTTTGGACCATCTAGGGTCATGACTCAGTCAATGCATAAAATTTGGTAATGATTGCTTAAAGGTGGCGTAGCTTATTCCAATAAATCTAAATTTCAAGATATTTCACATTCGAAACTTGATAAAAATCTGAAATCATCAGTATGTCTTACAGAGTTTACATTTTTTCAGCACAGCACACTGAATTGCAACAAAAGTTTGCCTCACTACAATCTATAGTCAATTCAGAAGTCTATCACTCTATATTTTTAAGAATATACTAAATAAGTTAACATCTATATCTCAACAAGTCTTCATTCAAATGCAACCAAAACTGATGGGAGTGAGGGCAACAGGGCGGAAGTGGTTGAGTTCTGTGGGCTGGGGTTTCTTCAGTTGACTTGTAAAGCAGCAGTTATGAGTTCAAATTCTACAGGCATGCCCTGGATATGAGACGCCATGTTTCAAATGGTGTTCACACCAGTTTTAACAGTGGGCCTGCAGTGAAATTCAATATGTTGTTGTAATTCATATTGTATGTACAACATTTTCTATTTCATTTCATTTTTGTGAGGGTCCAAAGCACAGAGGGATGTTGTATGCTGTAAAGCCCTGTGAGGCATTGTTATTTGTGATATTGGGCTTTATAAATAAAACTGACTGAGTGATTGATAATGAAATGTCATCAAAATGTTTGACAGTACTTTACCTGTTGTAAGTGCTTTAAGACTAAAAAGACAAAAAAAAAAGTTTTGCGTATGTGACATCATCAGCTCAAGTTGTCAGAAAGTGTGTAAAGAAACATGTCTTCCTGGCGGGGCGCAGATAGTAAATTATTTGCTTGGGGACACAAGGGTTCAAGATTTGAATTTCCACACTGGCTTGTGCCACACTAAGCAACTTTCACTGAAGTCTTTGTCAATACACCAGAAACCAGCAGGTTGATGTGTAATGAATTTTTTTTCAGGATTGTATCCCCAACAGTTAAATTGTTGTGAATATTGTAAGTTTTGTGACCTCCCCCTCTGTGCCTTCTGCTTCTGAGGCTGGTTTGGCTTCCTGGCCTTAAAGCTGGTGGGCAAGATTGGAGAGGTCATCAGGAAACTACCTGCACCTGGGTAGTTCTCCTGTTTCTGCCCATCTGCTGTGGACTCTTGTGGTTTAAAGGTTGACGTGCCATATCCTCTGCTACTTTATTAATTTCAAAACTAAAATTCCCAATCCCTTTGACAAATCTTAAATATCCAATATATTCAACTCAAGAAAGAAGAATTTCAATCAATTTATAATTCATCCTGTCAAAACCTACTATGACCCACAACAATCAACTGTTTCCTCAGTAGCTGAGTGGTAGGGCAGTTAGGTTTTTAGGTTTTAGGTTTTACTGTCCCCAAGGGGAAATTCTTTTCCACAGCACTGTACATGACACACAAACACTGACACCATCAGAACACATCACACTGGCGAGCAGCACACAAAAAGCAACGACATATACAGCATATAAACATGACACAATCAACGGGACCTGTTGTTCAGAGCAGCTATGGCTGCGGGAATCAGGCTTTTCCCGAAGCGAGCCCTTCTGCACCTCAGCGTTTTATACCTGCGTCCTGAGGGCAGCAGGGCAAGACGTTCGTTTAGTGGGTGTGTGGAGTCCTGTTCTATTGAGGTTGTGATACGTGTGATGGCCCTGTTATTAAGTTCAGTGAGGTTAGGTGTGGGAAGACTGATGATTTTTGCGGCAGTGCCAGTTATGCGTGTGAGTTTAGTCTGGTTTTTGACAGAGAGCATGGTATAGAAACAGGTAGAACAGTACAGTAGGATGGATTGAATAATGCTTTGGTACATTAACAGCAGGAGATGTGGAGCAACATAGAGTCCTTTAAGCTTATGGATAACTGATACTCTTTGGTGACTACATTTCTGGATGTCTGTGATGTGCTGGTCGAAGGTGAGTTTATTGTCCAGTGTTATTCCGAGGTATTTGAAGCTGTCTACTGTTTCAACTGTTTGGTTGTTAATGATAATGGGGTGCTGGGGGGAGGGAGGGTTGATTATTAATTCTTTTGTTTTGGTGATGTTGAGGTGAAGGTGGTTACTGTCACACCACTGGGTGAAGTGTGTGACAGTGTTATGGTAGTCGAGGGCAGAGTCGTCTGTGAGAAGGGTGAGGATGGCTGTGTTGTCTGAATATTTGAGGTAAGTGGTCCTGGGGGATGGGCTGATGCAGTCATTAGCATAAAGTTTGTAAAGGAAGGGACTCAACACACAACCCTGTGGTGCTCTGGTGTTGGTGGTGAGTGCAGGTGATGTGGTTGAGTCTACCCATACAGCTTGTAGTCTCTTACTGAGGAAGTTGTGGATGAGATGGATCAGTTGAGGGGGGATGTTGAGATGGTGTAGTTTTTGGATCATCAGATGCCGCTAGATGGTATTGAAGGCAGAGCTGAAGTCCACGAGGAGTATCCTGATAAAGTGGCCCGGATAGTCTAGGTGCTAAAGAAGGAGGTGCAGCAGGCAGGCTACAGCGTCCTCTGTGCCCCTCCTGGCTTTGTAGGCAAATTGGAGGGAGTCCTGTTGTGGGGTGACAATGGGCAGGATGATGTTCAGCAGCAGTTTCTCCAGGCATTTCATAATGATGGGTGTGAGGGCAACAGGGCGGAAGTGGTTGAGTTCTGTGGGCCGGGGTTTCTTCAGTTGACTTGTAAAGCAGCAGTTATGAGTTCAAATTCTACAGGTGGTCTGAATCTTTGTATTTTCCAGGATAACTTTTGACACTTTCACATAGTGGCACTTCTTTTGTAGAAATCAAAAGACATGAGATGCATTCCAGATCTTGAATGAAATAGAAGCCCTTTGTAAACAGGAATTGTGCAAATTTGCAGGAAAGTCCAATCAGTCTTCTTTCAGCATTGGCAGTATAAAAACAAATTTCGGGGAGTGCAGTAAAATGCCGCCTGCCTACTTTTGTTCATACAGAATGCGCCTTTTTCGCGGCAATGGGGGGGCGTGAGCAAGTAACAAAATGTGTAGCTCAGCATGTGACATAAACAGTGACGTACTCCGAGGGAAGCCGCAGCTGGTCAGTCCTTCGGCGATTTTCTCATAAGTTTGCCCGTCCTTCACCGTCCCCGTCACTTGGCAGTTAATGGCCTCTTCATTTGTGAGGGCAAGGAGGGCATGCAATTATTTGTCTCCCCAGTTGCTCATCTTTACTTTAGTGTCTGTCAGGTTTGCTTTTCCCTCTTGCTACTAGTATTAGCTGCTCATTCCTGCTATCAGCTGTTTCCTGTTTATCTACCGCCAGTGGGTCGCACGTGCGGTGTCATCAACAGCTCCTCCCACAAGTCATCAAAAGCCCCTCCCGTGGCGGAAAGGCGCCTCGTTCTTTTTAAACCAAAAAGGTTCTGCCAATATGTCGACCCTACGAGGCGGAAAATTGGGCACCTCGGATCAACTCGCCAGTCTGGCTCTGTGTGTCTAAAGGCTCGCAGCTTGACGGCAAAACGGCCCAACATTAACCAAAAATCTGGCAGTGTAAAAGAGGGCTAGAAATTCAATACAAATTTAGTCAAGGAAGTTAAAAAGGAAACCGGCCTTCAAATGCATGCAATGTGCTCAGACCCTGATAAATGGCACTTTTTACATCTCCTCCTAAACCATTTGTCCGATTTGCACCAAATTTTCTGTGAATCATTACTAATACAATCTTATCAAAAGTAATCAAAAGCTTGTTGACATCTCATAATGTTTTGATGACACTGACCAACAAATTTCAACAGGGGCATGTCTCAGCACAGACATAAACCTGACTTGATAACCAATAGCCAGTCATCACGAAAACATGCAGGATCTGTCTACATAAGTACAGTACATGAAACATTCCCTAAAAGTTTTATTCAGATCAACCACTTGGGGTGGCTGTAGGGCTGTGACGGTATGTATTTTTTCTCACAGCGGTGACAGAGTGACGTGTCACCGTGGTATGGCAGTGATACGTCACAGCCACCCCTCGTATTTCCTCGAGAAACTGATACTTCTTTCCAACACATATGGCATATTGCCTCATCCAAATTCGCTGGCTGCCCCTTGTCATCTGGCACAAATCCAAAATGTGCCCAAATTGGCGACTTAAAGGAATACTCAGACAATTTGGGAGTTATGCCCTTTCCCTATCATTTTCATATTGAGACAACATGATGGATATCGTTACCTATAGTAAAAGTGAACAAATAAACGTTACAGAAACCCTGAAGCTGGCATTTCTGCATGTGCATTTAAAATAAACATGTTTAAACATTAATTCAAAAAACGAGAGTCCGTTTTAGTCGTTTTAGTTTGAACTATAGTGTGTTTACGTCCTGTGCGGAGGGATACACTGGTGAGCAACAGCTGCAGCTGGCTCTGGGACAGGTACGCTAGGTCACTCGGTAAAAGCAAACAAAGACACGACATGGACGATATTACTCACTCGACTGAAAGCTGTCCATCAGCTCCTGCAGGCCTGGGCATTTTTCTCCAGATTAACTTAGTGATTGCTGCAAAGTTTTCACTCCTTGTGATGCACTCTCTGCGGCGGTTTTCCTCCTGATGATATATCTCCCCAACGATGGTAGCACTGAATCCCATTCTGTGCAGCAAAATGATTCAACCTCCGTAGGAATATGTTAGCTAGCCCCGCAGCTACACCACCAGTCCTCCTCTGACCTCTGTCTCCCCTCGGCCCGTTACTGCTCTGCCGCTCTGGAGGATTCAGCCTCTCTTCTCGCCCGCTCAGCATCCAACACCTGGGAATTCCTCATCTGTATGCTCCGGCTCAAACAGGTATGGCTCTGGGTCTGTGTCCGCTACAAGAAACTCCTCAAAGTCGCGTTCAAAGACGTACTGACCCCAATGCTAACCGCTGAGACCCAGCCACTGGACGTACAGACACAAAAACAATATCCATCATGTTGTCTCAGTATGAAAATGATAGCGAAAGGGCATAACTCCCAAATCGTCGGAGTATTCTTTTAACATTTGGCTTGGGAACCAGATCCGCCGGTGATGCGGTTATTGTCACAGCCCTAGGTGGCTGCAAACACAATCAGATTTTAAACTGGAAATTGTTTGTCCAATTTATTACAAGACGTGCAGGTTTTGTTTCAAACCAATGGCGAACCACGTGTATAGTAATTATCACTTGAAACATACCCTAAAAATTGGACTCAAAGGTCTCGATCCTTCACAGCTTTCAACCTTGAGCAGTTGATGATTGCTTGAACCCCAGAATTGCTGCTTGTAGCTGTATTTAGACATTACTGTTACACTGTGACCTGGGTAAAATGCAATCAGTGAAGCAACTTTGCCATTTACTGCATCTCTGTTGAAAATGCTTTATGTTTTGTTCAGTGCATTCTAGGTTCAGTATACCCACTGTGAGCACATTTATCTGTGAAGATATGGTTAGTTACCTTTAAATTTGATGCCTTTGTCTGCTCCGAGTCTTTCCAGGACTTTAGTCCAGGATCCTCTTGTAAACAGACGTCCCTTAGATGTAATGAGGATGATGGAACTAGAGAAAGAGTGAGAAACAGCACATCATTTTAGTATTCGCATTTGGCTCAAAGTAGCTGCATGTACCTTTTAAGCTCCAGTGTATGTATTACACCACAGCATGAGACAGTACTTTGTCATTACAGTGACTTGAATTTATCTTGAACTTGTTTTGCTCAGTCTAACATAACCTTGTGACAATTCAATTCTGTTTCTTTGGAAGCCCTTGCATCATCCAAAAACAAACATAAAAAGAAACAATTTCCACAATAAGATGGTTAGTCACCATTAAGAATCTTAAGCAGAGTAGCAGTACAAACCTTTAAAGGAGAAGTCCGGTATTTTGCACTTTAAGCCCCATTTCTGGGTTGTTTATGATGAAATACAGTGGCTAAGACCAAAATAGTGACGATTGCTCATTTTCGGAGAATTTGGCTTTCCCCTGCCTGGCTTAACACTGCTGCCTATAACCATATGTGAATCTGTCCACCCTAAACTTTCGTTTTCAAAGCCATGAAACTCACAGAGTGGTCAGTGGTATTCGTTGATGTTCTGAAATAAAAATCGCAGCAAGCTGTGGCTTCCATCCGTGTTTTCGCTATTCATCTTGATTGTGGAACTATTTTTTCAGCTGCCTCACACCCGTGTGTAAACTTCTGCTTGATCGTTCGTTTGACCCTGAAGCGTTATACACTCCAGCCCACTTGATGGCGATAATGATCCATTACGTGGGTGTCACCAACCGGCAGGAAACCATTGCAATGTAACAGGACACAAAGAAGCAGAGGCAGAAGAAGAAGGTTGGCATTGTGTTCAAAGGCATCGTACTGCGAAGGTGGTTTACAAGTGAGCAATCCATTGTGCAGTTGTTTCGTTTGTTATTGTTCTTCCTCCAGAAGCGCACACAGCACTGTCGAGTCGACACTTTCGCTGAGCTAAAAGACTACAATGACTACAACGTTGTTGTAAACAACTCCCTTTCCATTTCCGGTGGTGGACAGGCAATGAGGCTTCCTATAGAAAATCAATGTATTAGACAAAATGTCAAATAAATCATCATGGAAACCACAGCTTGCTACGATTTTTATGTCAGAACATAAACGAACACCACTGACCACTCAGTGAGTTTCATGGCTTTGAAAACGAATGTTTAGGGTGGTTTTAGGGACAGATTCACACATGGCCATAGGCAGCAGTGTTAAGCCAGGCAGGGGAAAGCCAAATTCTCTGAAAATGAGCAATTGTCACTATTTTGGTCTTAGCCTTCTATTTCATCATAAACAACCCAGAAATGGGGCTCAAAGTGCAAAATACCAGACTTCTCCTTTAATGGACTTTTAGTTTAGTTTAGTTAGACAGCAAAGGAGCAGCTTTTACCCGTCTCTCAGTCCACTGACATAGTTGTCCAACTGTGCAGGGATGCCCTGTAAGATGGAGTTCCTGAAGACTTTGCTGTCAACCACCTGCCCGTCATGACCATCAATTACTGTCAACTGCACCCCATCTTCTGGTTGGTACAACTTCCTGCCATTCACCTGCCACGACAAAGTCAGCCAATCACACTACAGTTCTGACCCAGACCTATAACTGATAAATTATTGATAAGTATTTAATTTTTTAAAAGTCAGCAGCAAAAAAGGTGAAAGTTGAAATTATTTGAACTTTGAGTGCAGCACTCAGTGGCAATTTTAAATGGAGTGTCACACCAAGCTAAGGGTAGTGCTTCTACCTAGTTGGGTGCCACTACTCTCACCAAAGGAAAAGAATGGCACAGCCAGCCATGCGGTTTCTGATCATGTGTAGCGGTATCATAAGAATGTATTCATACTTTCCATGTCCCTCCTGTTGATAAAAAAACTCTCAAATCGCCTCCTGCCCACAACCAGTGGTCTAAGTCTAAGCTGTTCAACCATGTGACAGTAAGGCTACCTACTATTCTACTCTCTGTATGACACAAAGGATACCTCAGTAAAGGCAAAGTCTTCCTTGATGTGGAAGAATCTAGTGTTGTAGGACTCCAATTTCACCTCCAGGAAGTGGTCTGTTGAGTGCTGAGAGTACACAAGCAAATAAACAGAGTTGGAATTAGTACACGCTATTAAGCATTTCATGAAAGCAATTTAAAGTCAGTTTTCACTCACCACAATCACAGAACAATTAAGTACACACAGAGAAATCAGACGGGCATACACATGCTGCCGTGTTGTGATCTGAATAAATTGCACAGACAAGACGTGTGCTGCTGGGCAGTGGAGCAAATGATGACTAATTAATAGATCCCAATATATCAAGTTAAGCTAGTTAACAAGAATACTAATGTTATTGTCACCTATGTTGAATCGCTTGCTAGTTAGTTTCATGCTAGGAATAAACCCACTCCTCCTTAATTTCTGCGCAGAACTTGTGCTCACTATTGCTTTGTAAATATTTTTTAATCTTTATTGCTACAATATAAAGAGCAGGGTCAGGGAGGAGACAGTGGACCAAAGGCCTAGCAAGGATGATCATGCAGGGTCTTCACAGGTGAGGAGAGAATATAACTGGCTGAGAGAAAATATCTATAGCATAAAAGTGACTTTGAGGTTAATTTCCACAGCTCACCACTACTATTCCTAATTCTATTTATCAATTTTGCTTTGCACATTTATTATCTATATTGTTGCAATAGATAGAAGAGGGACAGGGAGAAACCAGGCAAGTATCAGGACAGGGACCTGACAGCAGCACCAATTATCAGCCCAAGGCTTCACAGGCGAGGAGAAATTATAACTGGCTAAGGAAATGTCTATAGGATAAGAGTGACTGTAAGATTAATTTTCACAGCTATTTCAGAACTACTCTTATTTATACTCTAAAATGTTTTTGTCTGTATTGCACACAGAGAAAGGCTTAAAAATATTTGATTAATTTTGCACATCTGTGCTGTCATATTTGACTAAAATGTAAAATACATCTTGATGTTTAGTGTTGTGTCGTTTTCTGTCTTCATGCCATTAAATTAAATTATGTGGCTTATTACCCTGTTACCTTGTCACTTCCATTCCATTTTGTGTGCTGATAACTTGCTAACAGGAATGGTTACTGTGTTCATCATTCTGTAGTGTGAGAATTACTACACTGTTTACACGGCACTCAAGTTATCTCACAGCGCAAAGCAAAGAAAAGTACAGGATACATTTGGAATTTACTAATCAAGATTTATCATCATGCATTGTTGAAACTTTTTACTGTGAACCAATAAATGGCACTTGTAGAACTGTTGAATAAAAGCAGGATCACATGAGAGGGAGTGCTATTGTACTGAATTTCAGCACAGCTGATTATCTTAGTGTGAAAGTGCTATAAGTTGTTGGAAGCAACACATTGTCACTCTGACCTAGTCACATATCCAAGTTTGGTGATGGACTTTGCACATAGACATACAATGTGCAAGGTACCCTGGGTGCGTTGGATGTTGACGTTCTGGGATGCAATGTCAACTTCAGCCTGTTACATGCATTGTCAAAATACACTTCCATTTTCACAGGAAATGTGCATACAATCTCTTTCAAAATAAATATACTACATTGGTACACAGGTTGGTTGAGTTTAGGCAACAAAACCACATGGTTGGGTTTGGGAAAAATGAACAGGATTTGGCTTTACAATTTTACAGGGAGCGAACACCAGCCTCCTGGATGAAAGTTGGTAGTTGTTGGACCCACCCACCACCCCTCCCACTCACCCTTCTCAGACTTCTGCTGCCTAAACTTTTGTTGTTGTCCCGCCGCATCTCCCCCTGATGCCGGCAGCCAACACTGAACAGTAACAGCGACCCACTGTGTATCATACAGACATGGCTTTTTTTGTTGGTGTCCGGTGCCGGTCACTGATCAAGCGTTGGATTTCAACAACTTCAGAGTGAGACCAGGATATTGGAAGACCAGCAAGGTGCTATACAAATGCAAGTCAATTTGCCAAGTCCAAATTCAATACTTCCTATAAAAAAACAGTGTTTGATAGATGTTATACTAAATTTCAGGGTTATAACAAGACACGGTCACCAAAATGATGATGTGGACTCATTCCTAGAACCATGAAAATCTGGGTGAAAAGGGGTCTATATGTGGGCATTCTGTGTTTAAAGATACAAGTTCCTTCCCTTCATTTTTAAGATGATTATTCCTCAACTGATTGTACATTCACTTATTTGCAGAAAGGAAGCACTAAAATACTCAAATACCATTTCAATATCTCTAGTGGGGTCTTGCTATCCAGGTTGTACTGTTTTCTCCTCCTAATGGTAGCTGGAGGTGTAATGGTAGACAGAGCATGTGCAGTTGATACCCAACCAATATCATCTGATGGATCTCACTTACATATCATAATTTTAATCAGATGTCTCCAACCATCCTCCTGTAGAACAACCCTAGTAAATCACATCTGACGTTAATAATAAGACGCACCAGAGAGGTCCAAGTTTCTTTTTTCACTGCTCAGTATATGCATGGTTACTTGATTAAGCAAACTATGCCTCATATCTTGTTTAATTTAAACATGAACATGAAAGGAACTTACAACTTGTCCACATATAACCCCCCTTTTACACAAATTTTTAATGGCGTGCATCCTGAATCTTTTATATGATATTTCCATGCTCCTCAGTCCTCGCTTGAACTGGAAGTTGTTCTAGTGCGCCATCTTGAAGGCCATCCCAGTGCTCTTATTGCTGCTCTGAGGAGCCAGGATACACTAGAGCAGCTGTCACTGTCAGCAAGAAAGCTGCTTACCATCATTTCCATTCAATGACACAGGAGACTGATAATTCCAGAGCATTGTGTTTGATTAGTTACAGAATTTAAATTTTCCTTGAAATGTTTAGCCTAAAATACAGATGCAGATAATGAAAAAATAATATAAACAAATATTGTGCCTCTAAGTGGGACAACGCAAATGAGTGCAATCACAAACAACTGTGAACTGTGAACAGCTGACTGACATCACTTTACGTTTAAACTTCAAACGAAAGGACGTTTTATTTCTTTAAAACATATTTCCTTATTTCCTCTCTCCTTGCATGGTTTCCTCATGTTTTTCCGTGCATCCTTGGTGGGAGGGACTAAGATGCAAGGAAAAGACTCAAGTGAGGGAAACGTGGATGAAATTTAAGAGACTCAGGATGCACCCACAATCTTAGGAATGAGTCTGCATCGCCATTTTGGCATCTCAAAAAAGCAACAAATTGCAACCTTGGCTTGCCATACTTGCCAGAACTCAGACTCTGTGTTGGTATAACATCAATAAAATACTGTATTTTTAGCAGGAAATATGGAAACATCCATATGTATAAACTTTGGGGACCCAAAACCTGTGGACCTAGGGATCCAAAATTAATAATTTTCCACTTTTTCCATTTGCAAGGGCCAGTAATGAAAAATATGACATCTGCTTGGGTCTATCCCCCTACCAAATGTCAGGGCTCTAGAAGTTATATGTATGACTATAATAAACCCTAAAAGAGGTAAAAAAGAAAAAAGAAAATATGTGATTCCAAAATATTCAGTCAAAATAGTTTACAGAACGTTTTTTGGTCTCAAATAGCATGTACACAGGACTTAAACAAAATCTGAAATGTAACCAAAGGCTCCATCTGAGCTGGAAGGTGAAGCTTTCGATTTACTGGTCCATCCGTCCCAACCCTCACCTACGGTCATGAGCACTGGGTAGCGACTGAAATGAGTTTCCTCTGTGGGGTGGCTGGGCTCAGCCTTAGAGATAGGGTGAGGAGCTCAGACATTTGGAGAGAGCTTGGAGTAGAGCCGCTGCTCCTTCTTGTCAAGGGGTCAGTTGAGGTGGTTCAGGTATCTGATCAGGATGCCTCCTGGGCACCTCCTGTGAGAGGTGTTCCAGGCATGTCCCATTGGTAGGAGGCCCCGAGGCAGACCCAGAACATGCTGGAGGGACTATATATCTCATCTTGCCCAGGAACACCTTGGGGTCCCCCAGAAGGAGCTGGAAAGCATTGCTGGGGAGAGGGATGTCTGGGGTGCTTTGCTTGGCCTGCCACTTCCGCAACCCGGCCCCAAGGAATGGACACATATTCTGACTATATAAGAGCTTCAGAGGTAGGGAGTCACGACTTGTTTTTTCATCACGCCAGTAAATGTGAATAAATTACAGTCTTTTCTGGTGCTCATGGTTTCAGTAAAATTAAGTGAACTGAGCTAACGTTTTACGATCCAAGATGGCGCCAGTGTGTGTGGCCTGCCATCTGTCACTGCCAGTGCTGTGTGTGTTGGTACTGTTTGTGTCGCTTGTTGCTCTGAATGTCAACTCTCTACTTGTGTATGATTGCCAGACACTGCTGGATCTTTGACTTTCTGCCAAAGATCTATGGGTGGGGCAGATCAGAAAGTGACAGAGCAACGTTCTGAGTAAGTTAGAAATAACTTACAGAAACACACACATACACACACACACACACACACACTGGTCATTCCTCGTCAGTTCACAGAATTACTCTGTGGCAGCAAATATGTCGTTTAATTGGATTTATTTTATTTTCTTCTGTCTCTTGTTAATATGGATTTCTCTGCAGCATCTGGCCTACAGTACCTGTTCAGCACCTCGGACAGCGGCGCTGCGGGATGGGTTGGCTTTCGTAGGGGTCAGGTGCAGGTTGTAAGGTTTTAAAAACCATGGTTTACAATAACTTAATCCTCCTCCACTCAAAAATGTGTTTTCTTCTTGTTCCTTCAGATGAATGTTTGAGCCTCACTGTGCAGAATGATGTATGTGCAGAGCTTGACACTCGATGGCTGTTTTCACATTTATCTGCTGAAAATGCTCATATGATTTTAAGGGCTAGGGCTACGAGCCTATGTTGGTGGCTTATGTAGCCTATGTTTGAACCATTTAATTAAAATATGTCTGCATATCAAAAGCCAAAAACTTAAATATGTCATTCATTCTTTGGAAGGGCTACAAGCATGATTTGTGACATTACAAATGTTTTAGAAACCAGTCATGGTCCAATGTTCAACTTACACAAGTGTGATGTGGAAACTTGAAG